GACCATTTAGGCAGAGCATTTTTTTTCAGGAGCACACTCTCTGAGCTGCATGTCCTCCAAGTCAGAATAATGCACCCCACCTACACCACTGTGGACAATTTATGTCCCCTCCTCCCATGATGCTGAGGGACTATATCTTGCACCATCCCTCATCACTGCCTCTGCAGACTTAGGTTGATGAAAGCTGCACTCCACCAACACCTGGATAGCTACAGTTTGTCTACCCTTGGCCTAAGTGATTTTTTGACTGCACCTCCCAGAAGCTCCAAAGAGCATGGCCCATGGTGATGCATTCTGGGAGATGTTGTCCAACAACACCTGGGGACCTACTGATTTGGAATGACTAGTGTAGACCATGCCTGCATCATTCAGAATCTTTCCTTTCCCATTCATTCATTCATTCATTCATTCATTCATTCATTCATTCATTCATTCATTCATTCATTCATTCATTCATTGGTTTGTTCATTTCATTCGATTTTTATATTGCCCATCTGGCAGCCAGGGCCACTCTGGGTAGTTTACAAGATGCAGTTCAAAAAGTGTGCTACTGAAAACCCCTTGCTACCACCTGCATGTTTTCCTCCCTCCCCTCCTTTTTAAAAATATACAAATTTTCAAGGCTATATCCAGAGCTTGGAATGTTTCCTTTTTTGGACACAGAATCTCCTAACCATCATGGTGTCTAGCTGCATTGCCTGAAGGATTTGAGGAGTTGTCCCTGGCTGGATAGGTCAGGTCTCTCTTGACTGTCTTCACTTTGCTAACATGGTATTTAAAAGAAGAGGAACTTTGCTTTGTTCCCTTAAAATCTTAACAAAATAATGACATCATTGTTTAAACTCTTAGCCTTAACAAATTTCTGGGTGTTGGTTAATTTTGAGAGACAATGGAGGACCAGGTGGAGAAGTCATAAAAAGAAGAGAGAAGTAATTCAAAGCTACTGGAAAAGAGAAGTAGTCCCTTTACAGGTGATTTATATGCAGCACTGAAGGGAGTTTCCACTCCTGATCAAACAAAGGATTTCCCACAGTCTATTGCTAGAAATATCAGTGCAATCCAATTGCGCATTTCTTACTCAACAAGGTGCTGAATCAACCAAAAGAGGATGTTGGTACGGTTCACCTGCTCACAGAAGCTTAAGTCAACAACAGCCCAGCTTTCAGAATCATGCAAGTAAATGGTTTGCTGACAATCTTTCATTTTCATCAGACAGCTTTATTGTTTTATAAGCAGAAAAGGTAAAGGATAATTTGAGGTCAGAGTAGAAAAAAAAACATAGATTCATAACTTCCAGGAACTCAGTCATGATAACTTGCTACACACCACCAGCTGGTTGAAAATGTTAATGGTTGCAGCTTATACAACCGCTAAAAATGGTGCCAGCTAGAGATGGACACGAATCACCGGTTTGGAAGTTCATGCCGGTTTGTTTAGTGGCCAACCGGCGCTTCCAATCCTCACCTCTGCTGGTGGGTGCCCACTCAGAGGTAGAGCCCTGGCTTCCTTGCCCCGCCTTCTCCCCACCAGTAGAGGTGGGGCTTGGAAGCAACGAACAAGCTATTCGGCCACTAAATGAACAGGCAGTTTGTGACCATCTCTAGTGCCAGCAAAACAGCTATTGTAATGTTGTCAAGGAGGGGGCAGCTCTCCACTCAATAGTCTGGTGATCTCCATCCATGTAAAACATGTCAGAATCTAATATCCTGCACCTTGTGTCGTTGGCTTTGATTCGTATCCTGTGATCAAAAACCCATCATAGGGAGCTAAGATCTTGATGAAACCACCCTCACCGCCCCCAAGAGGGGAGAAGGATACTTCTTTTAACTCTTTTTTTTAAAGCAGGGATAATGATGTCATTTTCCTATGCCCTTTAAGCTACCATTTCACTTTTGAGCTTAGGTCATAGCAGCTAGAGGTGGCAAGGGACTAATTGATTTTCCCAGCAATAATATATTACTGTAAGCTATGCCAACTGTAATAATAGCTCATAGCAGCTAGAGGTGGCAAGGGACTAACTGATTTTCCCAGCAACAATAATATGCCAACTGTAATAATAGCAGTGCAATTGTATTGTTGTGTACCTTCATCCTGAACAGGAAGTTAAGACCCACCAGCTTAACAAAAGACCTGTTTTCCGTGAAGATGAAAACTGCTAAAAGACACTTATTGACACAGATCAACACAGCTGCATGAATTTTTGGACCTTTCTTGGGAGCATGGCTATAGGACCTGTCATGACAACTACATGTACTTTATTATCTCACTAGTATAGAATTAATTCCTCATTTTCGGAGCTTGGAAATAACACATCAGATTTAATGCACAATTAAATCCTGTTCCTTCTGCTTTAAACATAACGTTTGTTTCCAAAATCAGCCCTGCAAAGCTTTGCCCTTCATTCCTATCATACTGAACTAGGTATTCCTCTTGCACTTCACTTAATAAATAGGAATAACTGCACCAAGGTTTTGTTCATCCTTTAAGGTTGTTCGCCACCATGGTCCTTTCCCTTCACTCTACTGTCAAAGTTTTCCCCGGCCAACATAACACCTCATTGTACACATACATGTATTTGACACTTTTCACTGACAGACACCTTCAGATTTCTCTTCCTCGTGGGATTATCAAGGAGGTGCTTCCAAAGCTTTCTCAACACTTTGTGCAACCCAGCAAAAGTATAAGCAGTTGTCAGACTGCACAGCTCATCAGTGCAACTATTGCCACAATACCCTTTGCATATATGTAACACTCTCAAGTATTCAAAGAACTTCAGATATACAGTACTATGTTAGCCATTGCAAAACAGGCTAGCATTTTTACCTCTCGATTAGAAAAAGGTAAGAGCCAAGCCTGGAAATAACATACAAATGTTAAAGCCATTACTTTTGAGTTATCAGGCAAGACAAGCAAACTGATGTATTTAACTTTCTTAAAAGGATGCTCTGATGTTACTTGCAGAACATTATTTTAAATGATTAAATGCACCTGCTTGCTTCTCCTATTAACACAAAAATAACTATTTAAAAAGCAACATGTTAGACAGCCATCTGTCTGATATATTTCAGCTTGGATTCCTGCATTAAGCAGGGAGAGGGGCTACCTAGAGTGGTCTTTACCGACTAGATAGGCGGGATATAAAATAAATAAATAAATATTTCAAAAGCAACATGTTAGAGAGCCATCTGTCTGATATATTTCAGCTTGGATTCCTGCATTAAGCAGGGAGTGGGGATAAGTGGCTTTATAGGCCCCTTCCATCTCCATTATTATATGATTCTATGTTACTAGCTAAAGGTAAAGGTTCCCCTTGACAATTTGTCCAGTCGTGTCTGACTCTAGGGGTGATGCTCATCCCCGTCTCCAAGCCGTAGAGACAGCGTTTGTCTGAAGACAATCTTCCATGGTCATGTGGCCAGCATGACTAGACACGGAATGCCCTTACCTTCCCACCGTGGTGGTACCTATTTCTCTACTCGCATTTACATGCTTCCGAACTGCTAGGTTGGCAGGAGCTGGGACAAGCGACGGGAGCTCACTCCGTCGCATGGATTCAATCTTAGGACTGCTGGTCTTCGGACCTTGCAGCACAGAAGCTTCTGTGGCTTAACCCGCAGCGCCACCACGTCCCTGTCTATGTTACTACTTTATTTCCAAGCACTGTGTGAGATTTAAAGAACACAATTCCCAAATCACTCTTGGCCTCAACAGTGTGCCGGTTTGAAGAAGAAAAAATAGGTCTAACACAGTAAATATTCTTCAGGAGCTTTTCCTCAACAGGAAAATAAATGCCCTGCTTTCTGTGTAATTACTGAGTGTATTGGCTGCTAACTTAACAACAAGAAGACATCAATGTATTCCTAAATCTGACAATCTATCATGTATATCAGTGATGAGTGAATAAGCCCCAGTATTCCATCTGTTATCTATGAAGATAGGAAAATTTCAAAGTTCCACCTCAAGAAATCACTTAATGATTGAACTCTTTCAAGAACAGGTTTATTTCTTTAATGACATATGGTTAAACAGAGGCTGTAGGAAACTTTAAATAAAGGCATGCAAACCATTATAAAAATAATTAAAAGAAATTCCCACTACAATTAAGAGTTCTCAGATTCCCTCGGGGGTTTTTTGGGGGGGGAGTGATACACAGCAAAAGCACACCAGTTTCCATAAATCATCACGGATGTGACATATCTTTCCATTCTCACAAAAGAGAAAGTCTGCACTCTTCAGAGACCTGCATGTCTAAACTGTGTTATCTGCTCTGAAAAAGAGAAAGTCTGCACTCTTCAGAGACCCGCATGTCCAAACTGTGTTATCTGCCCTGATTAGCTATATCATGAATATCACTGGTTCTTAACCTTGGGTTACTCAGGGGTTTTGGACTGCAACTCCCAGAAGCCTTCACCACCAACTGTGCTGGCTGGGGTTTCTGGGAGTTGCAGTTCAAAAACATCCGAGTAACAACGGTTAAGAACCACTGAGCTATATCATGAAAAAAAAAGTTCTCAATCCATTCTGAACCTATCATCAGTCAATTTCATTCATCTAGCCAAACTGTAAGAAATGGAAGGAAACATCCTTCTACTTTGTCACTGAGCCTCGTGGTGCAGTGGTTAAACTGCTGTACTGCAGCCAGAACTGTGCTCACGACGTGGGGTTCAATTCCAGGTAGCCGGCTCAAGGTTGACTCAGCCTTCTATCCTTCCGAGGTCGGTAAAATGAGTACCCAGCTTGCCGGGGGCGGGGGCAATGTGTAGCCTGCGTAATTAATTTGTAAACAACCCAGAGAGTGCTTTAAGCATTATGGGGCAGTATACAAGCAGGATGCTTTGCTTTTGCTTTACTTCCCCCACACCATTCATAAGTTTATAAATTTCTTACATGTTTTCTTATAGGTTTCCTTTCCTCCTAACTGCACAGAAGCTTCTTTACTCTAACCTCCTCCAAGTCAATACAGTATGCAGTATATGTTTTTTTCTATTACAAGGATTTACCTGATTTACAGTCACTTCAACTGCTTTTACATAGTGGTCCACTTCTCGGCTCATAGCTGCATAATTCCACATCACCTTTTCCATTTCATCCACTTCTTCCATATTATCTGAAAAATAAACATTTTTTTTTAAAAAATGCACCAGTTCTTTCCAAAAACTGGACCACAGCTATGAACGAAGCGGGGACGCATAGCTTCCATGGGAGAGCAGTGTGCACTGGAAATAGTCACAAACCACTATAGTGTAAAGCCCAGTGCAGTTCTTATTGCTTCCAAATTTTGGTGGCCATGGCTTCTACCAGGCTCTAGTATGCCAAAAGGTGCTGGAGCAACCACACCATTGAGATTCAACATGCTTCCTTACCTTCCAAAGGGGACAGGTTGCACCACTGACAAATCTTGGCTGTGGATTTCTGGCAGTATCAGCATGAAGGAAAAGAGGAGGTTGGGGTGGAAACAACTAATGGGTACATGTAGCTCATATGTCTACCCCTAACCGGCTTCACTAGTGTGGACAGAATATGATCCAGGTGCTACATGCAACCCTCAGACCATCTTTGCAGCCCTTGAACACACCACATTGAGGGGGGGGGACTGCACAAAGCTTTTCTAATGAAACACGGCACAGAGCACCTCGGCACCCCCAACTCCAAACCCACAGAAATGATATCGGAGGTAGAGTTCCAGAAGCATTTTGGTTTGATTTTTCCATACGTCTTGCTCATTTGGAGAAGGCGCAGGCATAGCCCCCAATGGATTTCAGAGATGAAACCTGGGATCGGAGTCAGCCCAGCCTTGGTTTAGAGGAATACCAGAGACGAGACCAAAACAATACAAGAACAAGGAGTAAGCAATAAATACCTTTTTAAAGGTACATCAATGAAAGTCAAAACCCAACCCTCCATGGATGAAGATCAGGGTGTTTTGATTTACTGATTGGCTGAAACCCAAGACAGGGCTTTTTCAGGGGCGGCTAGACAAAGCGTCAAATCCTTTCCTTCAAGGATTTTAGGCATAGTTTGAAGACATTCCTGTTTGCAAAGTTATTTCAACTATTTCATTTTAGTGGCCAGAATTCTATTATTTGTGTACGTCTGTGTTAAAATCAAATCAGGCATTGCTTGTTTTCCTTGCCCACATATCATATGCTGGCAAACATAAGCAATAAGAGTTGGTTAACAGATTTCTGTTTTAATCTGGCTTTTTTGCTATATTTATTTTTTGCTTGTTTTAAGTTTGTATGCCAATTGCACAATTATAAACTGCTGGGCCATTTTTAGGGAGACCTTCTCACCTCCTAGCTACAGGCAAGCACAGTGTGGTGTTCAAAGTTTATGGCAATAATCATGCAAAAATATTATTTATTAAATGATGGTGCAGATATATAAAGGTAAAAAAAGTATGCCTGCATACCTTGACATGACTAATAAATTCATGGAAATCCAACCTCTTACCACACTTACCTAGAAATATATGGCTATTCATTCTTCCCCAATATTACCACCACCACCTTAAGGTCATGGTGCTGCCAATGCTTCATCTAAGAGTACTTACCACCACCACCTTAAGGTCATGGTGCTACCAATGCTTCTTCTAAGACCGCATAGTTAATACCATGGAACCTCCTACCATAGGGAAAGTCTGTGCGTCTTATGGAGCGAAGAAAACAGATTATATTTTCCTGTTTTCTTCTCCTAAAAAAATGGTGCGTCTTATGGAAAGGTGCGTCTTACGGAGCGAAAAATACGGTAGTTAATACCATGGAATCTCCTACCATATGTTTTAAGTAATAGATTTTAATAGCTCTGAAAAGAGGACAAGACCATAGCCTGGAAAACTCAGGACTAGACCACAGTTTGGGAAAGTCTATAGCTTCCAGAATTCCTCAGCCAAAATGGCCAGTGAATACACTAGCTTGAGGATTCTGGGAACTCAAGTCCTAAAAAAATAACTTTTCCACATCCTGGATTTAATAATAATAATAATTTATTGTCATTGTAAGTATATACACATACAACGAAATTCGATTTAACCAATTAATGGAGACACATGGCTATCAATGGTTACTGGTGAAGAAAGCTATAGTTTCTATTCAGGCATTAGCTCATTCACAAACACACAAGGAGCAGGACGTGTTGTAGCCTCACTTCCTTCCATGGAGTTGGAAGGCGACCAGAGCCAAAGGGAACAAAACTGAAGCACTCCCCATGCTTGTATTTTTATTCTGTGCATAAGATAATGCATGAATAGGACTTATCCCTTATAATCACTATCAGAAAAAGTACATAGAATTCAATTGCCAATTTACATCAGCACAAACGAAATCACATTACATCTTGGCAGCAAATCGCTGCTCATTAATCACCTGCTGGTTGCATTCTTGGTGGACTCAATTGCATGATCGTGGACATGCCCAGGAACTCAAGAAGCACACCACTAAAGAGTGGTCACTGGCTGTCGGCCACTTACTTTTGAGTTCTAGTGTTCTGAGTAAGCAAGCACAAAACAAGCCAGAGATTTAAGAGCTCCATGGACAGAAAGGTACACTCCTAAGATTGCTAGAAAAACAGTTATTTCTGAATAAAACTTTTTAAAGCTCCCATTCTTCTTGACAGTTTATATACTGCATCAATATTAACAAGGGCCTGATGTACCCATGCAGACAAAAGGCACGCAAAAGGATACTAGCAGGAGGTTTTATTATGAAATATTTGCTGACTCTCCCTGCATCATATTTTATTCATATCCATCAAATGCATTAGCATTATTTTACTATCTCTGGTAGCATACATACAGAAGTGATATTTTGTTCAATGGGACAACAGGTGCTTTCCAGCTTCTTCAAAATACCGGCTATATATTTTACCTGTTTTGCAATCAAAAGTCATTTTACACTTCTTGGGCAACCTCAGCAAATGCATTACTCAGAGACACTTCCCTGGTTTCATGCAAGCAAGATTGTGAGAGAAGAGTGAGTGTGTTTGTGTGTGCGCGCGCGCAATTTCAGTTACCAACACCTAGTCATTAGGCAATCAGGAAATTTTGTGCAGAACTTGTATTTAATGACTCATCACACTGCCTGAGAAATATTGAATGGAAACATAAATGCCCTCTCCTGTTGAACTGGAGCTGAAACTATAATTAGCCCCCATTCTTATAATGCCAGCCATTATAAGAATCAAAAACTGAGTCAGCATTTTCTAATTCATGGAAAACAATGGGGGTGTGTTTTAGTTAGAAGAGCCTCAGAGAAGACTGGCAATACTGTCCACAGAAGATAGGCAAATCAAAAGATGCTCTTCAAAGACCATGGCCAATATCTTATTGAATATTTACACGCACATGGAGAAGCTGATGTGATGATCTAAGGAGCTACCAGGGAAATAAACAACCTCCTATCCTCTTGGTGTGTTTATTACAACTTCCACTACCTCCAGCATAGATACCAGTCATATTGGTTGAGTTTATGAGGGTCGCAGTCCAACACAAACCCAGAAGGTATCAGGTTTTGGGGACAATGTCCTAAGCTGACTGTTGACCTTTCTTCCCTGTCATGCTTTCTTCACTGCAAGATATAATCTGGTATTATTTCTCTTGGAAAGGGCATTTAAATGGCGTGGAGGTCCAAAGAATTCCACTCATCTCATTTTGTAATCTCTTTTTCAGTGTAATTCACAGGAGCATCACAACATTGGCAAACCCTCTCCTGGAGCTCACACAATGCCAGGTTCCTGCAATTCCTTCCTAGAAAAGTTATGCCATCATTCGCGACCCATGATGCCACAAACAGAAGCATACAGATTGCCTCATGTGTTTAAGCAAACCACTTCTAGTTTACTGCTCTCCAGATTGCATAATGCTGAACTTTGATAGGATTTAAGTAACAAGTATCTAACATCCCATTGATTTCAGGAGACCTAGTCCTGTATAACAACATCTGCATCCAAACCCAGGTCCCTTCAGATATTTTGGACTACAGCATTCTTCCATCTACTCCATACGGCTAGCTGTCATGGATTATGAGAACTGTAGTCCAAAACATCCAGAGAGTATCAATTTGTCTATCTAGTCAAACACGTCGTCAGGCAAACATCTGTGGAAGACAAGGGTCATTGCCTTCTATTGCTATCGACCCTCAGCATCTGGTATTCAGAGCAAAATGTCCCATGAATAAAATGAATCATTTTGACAGACACCTACAAGTGTTTGTCTGGGTCAGGCCATTGATCTGTGTAATAATCCCCAGGGTCAATCCTTGTAACCTTCAGGTAGACAGCGGAAGGATCCTATCTGAAACACTGGAGACATAGTGCCAGTCAGTGTCAACAATATGGAACACAACAGACCAATGGCCTCACCCAACAGAAGGCAACAGAAAATTAAAGATTAAGCCAAATTAGGGGACCATCTTCCTATTGTGGATGTGTATGACTTTCACAATAGGAAGGCCTAGGAAGCTTAGCATGAGATTGGAATTTAGGAGACCCTGGGTTCAAATTCCTATTCTGTCATGGAAATTCACTACAGAAGGCACTCCTGGAACATCTCACATATCTTAAAGTAACTCAAAAGTGACTTGATGGCACATAGCAGCAGCAACAGGAAGCTTATTATGGCATCTTCCTCTCTGCTGTGTGTATGCATGTATCCATAATTCATATATACTGTAC